GGGGGGGGGGGGACCATGAGAGCCGGGTGATCCTAAAATTCGACTATCGGTACGTTGGCTTCGCCCTGGAGATTCAGAAAGACAAAGACTCAGACACAAGGCGTCACGGTCGCACTTGCTTAGCCAACTGACGCGAACTTGGAGGAGAGAAGGTGCTGCGATTCTGAGGCGCCCCGGCGCCTCCAGAGCCAAGAACTCGCCGGCGGTCAAGACCGGAAAGGTCAGCGGGGCCGAGGGCCGCACCGCTCGTGCCGGCTCTCCCCACATCCTCCCCTCAGGGTCCAGCACAGCAAACAAAAAGCACACAGTGCCCTGCACCGATCAGGTATCACAGGGCTGTCCACCCAAAACAGACATACCTGTGTTAGCCAAGGTCACCCCAATAAATTCAATAAAAATTAAGGGAAAAAGGCAGGAAGGCACGGACACAGGACACCCAGCGGAACGGGTCGGTGGAGAGCAGGAAGGTCCATGCAAGGGGAAAGCGTTGCCGACTGAGGGAGTCTCAACGCTCAGGGAACGTGAGCCGAAGAATTAGGTGAAATTTTTAATTTCACAAATTAGATCAATCATGTTTCACAATATTACCTTTTTTATGGCCCTTCCCATAACCACCCAAAATAAAATTGCCAAGGGAGGGACGTCCCCTTGACTAGAAGAACGTCCCCTTGGACTGAACGTTTTAAAACCAGCCTAGATGTTGAAGACCCATCTGCAATGATCTGATACTCATTTTAAATAAAGACAGTTATCAATTAACCTAGAGTCCGTCACAAACAACACGCTTTTCACGACCAACCTCAGCTATGGAGGCAGCACAGGGGGGACAGGCTTGGAGGTTGATTATGTGGTGGCTCTGGTTTCACCGGAATCGAAGCTAACTCCCTCTGCAAGAGGCATCCTTTGAAATTCATGAAATTCTGCACGTCTACATTAAAAAATGGCAAGCACAGCATGATTTATAAGGAGCTGGTGAAATTAATTTCAGATTAGATCAGCCATTTTGCCACCGATGAGCCAAATTACACGTAGCTCGGAACAGCTACGGAAATGCAAAAATGGAAAATGGGGATAAATATACTGAATACGCGTTATGATCGGGCCTGGGGTTTAAAAAGCATGTCGCACAGCTGCGTGACCCCGTCGCATTGTGAGCGTGGTTTCCACGTCTGTAAGGAAAAGATACCCTGCTTCCCCTAGGGGACAGGCCCTGCCCTACGAGTGGGGTTGGGTGCAAGGAGGGACCCCCCCCAACCTCTCAGCCACTTTTCCCAGGAATTAGGCTACTCGGAGCTAAGGGAGGCGAGAAAGGCTGGCAGCCTTCACCTGCGGGCGAGATGCGGCATCCGTGACGGGGCTGAGGGCAGAGGAGCTCCGGCTTCTTGGCCGGGTCTCCCTGGAGCAGGATTCCCGTCATGCTGAGGGGGGCCGGCGGGAGGGAGGACGTGGACTGTGGCACCAGGGCCACCAGCTCTCTCTCTGTTCTTATCAAGATTTCGTAATTATTCTTGAATAAATATTTCTTTCACTTGCTGTACGCTCTCGGGAAAATTTTCAAACTTCAACGCCTTCGTAAAATATGATGTTGCCAAGCCAGCGAGGCTCAGTGGTTGAGCATCGACCCATGAACCAAGGTCATGGTTCGGTTCCCGGTCAGGGCACAGGCCCGGGCTGCGGGCTCCATCCCCAGCAGGGTGCGTGCAGGAGGCAGCCGATGGAGGACTCTCATCATTGATGTTTCCATCTCTCTCTCTCTCCCTCTCCCTTCCTCTCTCTGAAATCAATAAAAACATATTTTTTAAAAATATGACCTTTGCCAGTTTTGGTTGTTCCCATTTGGGTGTGTCCCTGTGGGCCTCTGGCTGCCACTCCAAGGTGACACACTCTGAAAACAGCATTTCCTGGCTGTGCCTGCGTACGCCATCTACGCCCGGGAGGTGGGCATTAAGGACAAAACATAATTGCTGGGGCTTTAAACCTCAACAGCAAAATTACGAACATCATGCGATATCAGCAAGATCTCCTACAAATGGTATTATTGAATTCTTTCAAAAAACCGTCTTCAGTAACATCTGTTCATTTCTGAAATATTTAGGGCCTCATTATGATCGGAGCAAACATGTTTACTTCCATTCCCTCCTATGTGCTCGATTTACAAAATCTATCCCCGGAGTTCTGCCTCGGGTCCTATTTCATGTTGGACGAGCGTTGCATGTTGTATCAACAGGGTAAGACCACTGACTTTTAAAACAAATATGCGGGAAGCACATATGGTGCTTGGGTCCAACTCAAAGCCAGAGCAAGCGCTGGGGGCCGCACCCTGGCTGCGTGAAGCGGTAAAGCCCTGTGGGGTCAGGCGAGCTGTTTCCGCAGGGAGGCCAGAGCCGGGGCCTCTGGAGCAGAGGAAAGAAAGGAAGCCAGCTGTCTGGCTGGAGTGGTGTCGGGTGAGACGGGGCTGTTGGAAAATGGGTCAATGGAGCAAGAGCCAGCAGCACTGGGAAGAGACCCGAGTGCAGACGAGAGCCAGGCGGGCGAAGAAGCAGGGTGGGGGCAACGGTGTGTGAATTACACGGCGGAGTGAGCAGAGCGCACAGGAGTCGTGCCCGACACCGAGGGCGGAAAATGTGTGTGTGCACGTGAGATATGTACGTACGTGTGAGATGCACATACGTGTGTATATAATTAAGGATTATACCCATTCAGTAATACAAAATGGCTATATATATATATATATATACACACATATATATATAGTGCATATACCTATATACACACAAAGCTATTTTTAAAACCGTATGTTTATATATATGAAAAGTATGCACACACACAGAAGATAAAACAAATATAGCAAAATGTTCACCTTTGAGAAATCAGAAATTCTCTGCACTACTCTCGCAACATTTCTGCAAGCGGCATTAATTAAAAATAAAAAGCCTTTAAAAGAGCGTGGACGAATAATCAGAAGATTCCCAAGGTGAGCCACAAGAGCACACAGCATATTTGTAGCCAACAGGTGGCGCCCCAAAGTGCCACTTTAAACAATGTTAGAAACCTAAATTCCTAAAAGCAATCAACATTCCAGATGCGAGGACGGACACAACCCTTAAGAATTACACCAACTCAGTGACACCGAATTAAACAACGACAGTGGAATGCGAGGACAGGGTGCTTACCCCTTCAAACAGCCCACATCTTTTGAAAGCCTCCTTCCACCTCAGCAAATGAAAAACACGGCCTACTCCCCGCGTGCAGGTGAACTGCTCTCCTGCGGGCTGTGGGCTGCGGGCAAGGTCACTCCGTCTGCCCTCTGCGGGGTGGTGGGTTAGCGGGACCGCAACACAGACACCGATGCAAAAACGGACCTAAAACGGACCTGGCTTGCAAATACGATTCCTTCTGGTTGAGCTGTGTGTGCCAACTAGAGGAAAGGGAATTTCATAACTGCAGAGACTCTGGGACGGGACTGTGAAGTTTCTCTTGGGACACACTGAACCACGGCCAGTGATTTTCACACAGTTTATATCGAGTCACAGGACGGCTCTGCCTCCATAAATCACGCTGGCTCCGGCGCCCTTCCCACTCCCAGAATCCCCGCTCCTGCCGGCGGAGGCGACACTCACAGCAGCCATTTGCTCAGGGGGCCCAACCACGATCATTCGATAAATACTTTTAGAACTTCAGATTCTTACGATAGTACTTTGGGGTTTTAAAATCCCCACAGAGCAGAGCTTAGGAAATTCGACGTTACCCAACTTAACTAAATCTGACCACGGAGAGATGTTAACTCGGTGATGATTTTTTTTTTTTTTTTTTGTCTTTAAAAAGTTAAGTGGGTCGCTTGCAATTTTCCCCCCTTTTCTAAGCACAGCGGAGATGTGGTTAACGTACCTTTGCAACTTGAATCTCAGGGAAAAACCAGTGAACTCGACGAATCCCTTTATGTATCCAACAGACTCGGTTACAGCTCCAAGAGATATGAGGGTGGAAATTAAGTGGTAGAATCTTCTTCCCAAAGTGATTTCAAGTTATTCTGGTTTGGGTACCAACAACCGAAGCCCAGCGGGGGGAAAGCAGAGGGGAGACACTCGCGGCTGAGGGGACTCAATTCCTCCTGGAAAGGCCTGACTGCTCCGCTTCCTTTTAACCAACAATTCCGCGGTCCGGGGAGAAAACAGCAGAAGGCAGCCCATCTAACGCCTGGGATGGCTGGAACATTAGGCACCCCAATTTCCCGCTTCCACTCTGGGTGCCCTGCTCCCCCCACCATTTTTCAGTAGCTCGTTAGAGAGCCTCCCTTTCAATAACAAAGCCCAGCGGCTCCCGAGGACCCACCGACCTGCTGGCCCTACAACTGCCGTTCCCCCCGAAGGGCCGGGCTCAGAGGACACAGGACAATGGCCACCGAGACTGGAGGGTACAGACTGAAGCGGACGGGGTTCGGGGCGCAGTTATTTATGCTTTCAAGTCTCTCCCTGAGATTCTCTCTCCGGAGCAGGACTTCACAGTGATGGGGCTTAGCGTGGGGTCCGCCTCGGCTTCGGGGAGCGAGAAGGGGTCAGGCGGGGGTCAGAGGGACAGAAGGCGCACAGACGCTGGCTGCTAATGAGGACAGACAGACAGGGAGGGGCTGGGTCATGAGGGCAGAGAGCAGACAGGGCCTCGCATCAGAAACCACGTGCAGCCGGGCCAGTGCGGCTCAGCGGTGGGGCACCGACCCAGGATCCAGGAGATGGGGCTCGATTCCCGGTCAGGGCACAGGCCCGGGCTGCGGGCTCCTGGATCCCCAGTGGGGGGCGTGCAGGAGGCAGCCGGTCAATGACTCTCATCGTTGATGTTTCTCTCTCTCTCCCTCTCCCTTCCTCTCTCTGAAATCAATAAAGACATATTAAAAAACAAACAAACAAAAAACACGTGCAGAGCCCTGGCCAGGTGGGCTGCGGTTGGAGCGCCAGCCCACGGACTGAAGGGTCCCAGGTTCGATTCTAGCCAAGGGCACGCTGTACCTCAGTTGCAGGCTCATGCCCAGCCCGGGTCGGGGCACATTCAGGAGGAAACCAATCGATGTCTGTCTCTGTCTCTCTCCTCCCCGCCCCCCTTTATTCTCTCAGAAAAACAATGGAAAAAATGTCCTTGGTAAGGATTAAAAAACAAAACAAACAAATAAATAAAACCCAAATGCAGAGAGCATAACTTTGGCTGTCTTGGAATCTAAGTGTCACAGGAACAGCCAAATGGGTGGGGGCTGGATTCCACCAAGGGGAGGGAGACCCTCTATCCAGGACTCCACAGGACAGTGGTTTCTGTCACTTTCCAAAGACTCCATCAGCAGTTTTTCATTTTAGTACAATGGCTATAAACTGAAAAGGCACCACTCGGGGAATAAAGGGGTTTGAACCTCGCTTTCCGGTGGTCTCACCCAGGACTCTGGCAAGAATAAGCGGCCGGCCGGTCAGGCGGTAAAGCTAACTAAGCAGATGGAGCAGGTTCATGCACCTGGGGACCCTCCCAAGGAGACGGAATGTGCCGCCTTCCCCCGGAGTTCAGCGTGATCATCACTCTTGCGCAGGAAGGGAGGGTGCGGGCATGGACGCCTCGCCTCTCGCCGCACCCGCCTCGGGCCCTCCTGGTCCTTCCGGGACCCTGTCGCCCAAGAAGCGCGCGCCTCTTGTTTATTTCACGGGAGTGTCTGACCTCGTGTGACTCAAAGAAAACCCAAGGTCCCTCCCCCCCTCCTGGGAGAGGGAAGAGCAGCTGACAGCGCCCATTGCAGCCTGAGCATCGCCATGTGCGAGCCGGGGACTCACGCATCCCCAGAACTGAACTCCGAGTGCCCGTCTGCAGTGACTGTCTCTGTGGGGCGTCTGGCCTCGTGGGGCGGGCACAGGTGTGAGAGGAAGGTGGTCTCGATTTAAATTCTGGCTCTTCTCATTGCCGGGCCAGTGGACTTTAACACAAATGCCTATACCCAGCCTCTGAAACAATGTGTCTCGTTCCAGTGACAGCTGGCTTAAGTTGAAGCCTCTTTATGCCAAAGAAGCACACAACTGCATAGTTTTGTGGGGGTTTTTTGGTTGGTGTTTTTTGTTGTTTTTTTTGCTTCACCATGGGTGTGAAAGGGCTTAGGGAGCAAACAATATTCCCCAAGCTTTTGTCTACTGAGCAAGCTGGAAGACATCGCTGCACCTGCTCCGGCGCCTGGACATGCTCTACAATGTAACACATTCTACAATGTTACTAGCGTAAGACCAGGGGCCACAGGGGACGTAGCTCACAGCTATGCAGGCCTCACTTCAGGTCCCACCTGGACATGCTCTACAATGTAACACATTCTACAATGTTACTAGTGTAAGACCAGGGGCCACAGGGGACATAGCTCACAGCTGCCAGGCCTCACTTCAGGTCCCGCCTGGACAAGTTGCACCCACTTTACCTACACGGCCCTGCAGCCAGCATCACTCTCTGGAACCGAGGGCACTGTGGGGCCTGCGGGCTTGTTGTCGGTACAGTGACGTCACTTCCAGCCACAGGCAAGGAAGCGTGTTTTTCCTGGACCCTCCTGGCACGTCTCCTCCGTTCATCAAACCTCTTCCCTCACAATAATCAGGAGCCCAGTGCATTTGTCGTCTAGTTTTTAGCATCAGTAACAACTTAGAGGTCTCGAGGCTGGGTTGCTACCGAACAAATGTAGGTTCTGTGCCTCGTTTCAAACCAGCACGGCACACGCTTTTTGGAGAGAGTTATGGTACAAGCCCACTCGTCATGATGTAGGGAAGAGTCCGTACATACATATAAGAATGTTGACCCCGCGATTTATTTAGTTAGTTAGTTAATCTAAAGTTAGTTAGTTTACTGGAGAATACTTTTTCCATTGATTTTTTTAGAGAGAGTGGAAGGAGGGAAAGAGAGAGAAACACTGATGTGAGACAGACACATCAATTGGTTGCCTCCAGCATGCACCCCAACTGGGGCTGGGGATTGAATCTGCAACCCCGGCACTTGCCCCTGACTAGGAACTGAACCCACGACCCTTCAGTGCGTGGGCTGGTGCTCTAATCACTGTGCGACACCAGCCAGGGCTGACTGTAATTTTAAAGCTAGGAGGTAAATAGAGAGGAAAACAAAGGGCAGGCCGTTTCCTCCTGCTGCAGACGAATAAATGAGAGGACCTGAAGTGAAGTCTCAGAGCCCGCCCCGCCACTCACCCGCATTGGAGCCGGTCAGATTGTAACGGGCGTTGAGCTTCTTGATGATGTTCTCATGTATTTGGTACCATTCGCTCTCTGTGTTACACCTGGGAAAACATGAACTCTGTGAGGCGTGGACCGTCCACGAGATCCAGCCACGTCCTTCACCGCGAGCCAGCGCTTTCGGGCATCACCACCCCAATGGACTTCCTCCAGCCTCCTTAGAGCTCCCAGTCGCCTCCTGCAAGTGACTGTCTGGCAGCCGTCACCCCAAGAGGAGAGGGAACAGCCACCCGAGGTGGTGCTTGTGCCCATCCTCATTAGCTGGGTGATCGAGAGATCGAGAGCATTTCCAGTCCTGAACCACCGGCTACAAATCTCTGATCACTAATTAGAAACACGTGGCACAGGCCCGGGGCCCTGGGCGCAGGATGAGGGGACCCACAAACCCTGCAGCAGTGAGGAGAAAGCAATGGGAGGTGCGTCCTCGGGCGCTGGGGCTCTCGCGTTACCCCCACACGGGAGGCAGCTGTGAGTGCACATTGGGTGTATTAGCCCGACAGCGAGAACAGGAGGCCAAAGCACCCTCATTCCTGGGGGTGGTCAGTGGCGAGGTCTTCAAATCAGGGCTGCGGATCCCCCCCCTTCCCGGGGGTCTGCTCCGAGCACCCCACTGTGTGTCAACTCTCCGTGAAGCGGCGTTGACCAAGCCGTGTCCACCCGCCCGCGCGCGCATCTTCTTACATGTACACTTTCAGGACGAGGTCATCCTTGGTCTCCCCGGTCAGCAGGTCGGCGATGCTAAGGACCGCGCAGCCGAAGGGTCGCCGGTACTGGACGCTGCAGGCATTCTTTTTCTCTCCGGCCCCCATGCGACCTGTCCAAGCAGAAAACAAACGTGGCCCAGGAAGCCACTGGATTCGAGCCTCGACACCAGACACACACACAGCTACCAGACAGTCCACAGGGAATGTCATTGGCGACGGGAAGGACATGGGTTTGGGACAACAGAGGGACTCCGCTTCAGCCCTGGACCCTCCTCAGCACAACCTAACCCTGTGACCTCGGGCACGCAGCCCACGCCCTGGGCGTCCCCTGCCATCGAGGACACATCAAGCCTGGGGCTGACCCGTCTGGGGAGCCTCCTCCCCACGGGCTGTGAAGGTGCCCAGGAGGCCCAGGCCCAGGAAGGCAGTAGAGGTGCCTCTTCCATTTTCCTATTTAAAAATTACTAGTTCACATGTTTCCCCTGTGAAAGGAAGCAGTGAGCCTCCCCATCGGAGCAGCAAGCAAGACAGGTGACAAAAAACGCTGCCATCTCGGGGACGCTGCTCCCTCGGACAGTTTCCACCTGCTGGAATGGTTACAGATCTTTAAGTGCGGTATAAAGGTCCTGTTTTCATTTATCATCGTGTTTAATCACCAATGGATTCTTTTGGAGACAGAAAGTCCTCTGGAGCTGAAATACAGCAAGTTAATACGAGGAAAAGTAATTATTTAAAGATCCGCCCATCTGTTTCCAGACGCTTGGCGGCGATCGGCAAGTTGTTTCCATCTGAGCGAATTCTCCTTAGTGTGTGGAGACGGCTCGGGCTCTTCCCCGCCCGCCCAGCGGAAAACCAGGGACTGCGGTACCGACCGCGGCTTGGATTCACGGGTAATAAAGGGAATGCTCCGGAAGATCATTTTCGTGGAAATGCTTACAAGTCGCAGCCCCCAAACCTCCCATCGTATCAGAATCAAAACTAAAACACGGTCAAAATAAGGCAGGGTGCTCTGTAGTTGTACAAAGTGTAAGCATGTGAAATATCCTGTATTTTGTGAATCTAATACTTTACAAGGTCATAGTGGAATCCATCCATCCACAAGTCGTATTTTTACTTCCAGAATTGATTTAAACAAATTTAAAACATTGGTCAAACAGAAAGAAAGTCTAGTTTATCTCCGTTTTAAATAGGATTACACATCATATCAGGATGAACTATCCACTCCAATCTCTGTCAGTATCAGGATTTCAAACAACCCTCTACAGAAGTCTGTGCCCTGGAAAGTGCCAGCGGGTGTCGTTTTCATGAACCTGTAGGAAATCCAGCCCCCAAAAGTTTAATTTATGCTGTGAACAGAGATGAGAATTTGAAAAGATGATTACAAAATCGTTGAATCACATACAGGCGGGGAGCCTAATAAAACAAAAAGAAACAACAAGCTACGTGAGGACTTAACCGGGGAGAGAGGAGCCCCGTGCGGAGTTTGGGAGGGGCCCGGGAGGGTTCCCCAAGCCTGTGAGTCTCGGCCTCGGCCCGGCTCTGACGGGGCGTGACTCACACAGCAGGCAGTGTGACCAAGCCCTCGGCCGCCTCCCCGGTGCCCCGCGCACCGGGTGACCTACCGATGCGGATGATATGCACCGTGATGTACATGTCCCTGCGGAGCTCGCTGCTGCCCAGGTCCTGCCGGAAGACAAAGCCGGGTTACTGGGGAGTCAGCCTGCACGCGGGGCGCCCGAGGGGCACAGCGCCCGGCTCTGCGGGCGGTCGGGAGGCGCGGCCGTGCGATCCGGCAATTCCGCTGCCCGGCACTTATCCGAGAAAACAGAAGCGCTGATTTAAAAAGACACGCGTGCCCCCGTGTGCACCACAGAATTACCAGCGAGAGCCAAGGAACGGAAGCAGCCTGGACGTCTATGGACAGAGCGCACACGGGAGGTGTGGGCCGTGCACGCGACGGGACACGAGTCGGCAGGAGGCAAGGGGGCGATCCTGCCAGTTCAACAACATGGGCGGGCTGAGTGGGTTATGCCGAGCAAAATAAGTCAGAGAAAAACAAGTACTGTACGGTCTCACTTATAGGTGGGGCCTAAAAACAGAGAACAAAATGAGGCAGAAACAAAACTATGGAGGCAGAGGACAGGCTGATGGCTGCCAAGGGGGGG